AGAAAGTGGTGGAATCATACGTATTTGAGGAAGAGGCTCATTAGAAAGTAAATATTGTATTTACATCCAAGAGAAAGACTTCCAGTAATGGTGACCTAAAGAGGTCAGGTGATTCCTCTCCACGGAAAACAAGTATAAAACTGTATGAAATTGTCAAAAACAAATCAAGGCACTGGAAATTTACCAAAGTAAAACAACAAATTGAGAAACATTTATTCTTGGAAAACAGAGCTTCAGTTCCAAGAAGCTCAATGAACCCCAAGTAGATTAAACACAAAGAAAACCACACTTAGACACATCATAGTCAAATTTCTGAGAGACAAAGAAAAATATCTGAAAACAACTAGAGAAAAATGACTCATCGCATACAGGTGGCCAATAATACAATTAATGGCTGATCTTGCATCAGAAACAACGGAGGCCAGAAGCCATTGAAATACTATATTCAAAAAGCTGAAAGAAAAACAGCTATCAAACAAGAATTCTATATCCAGAGAAACTATCCTTCAAAATAAGGGCAACAAACCATATATACAACAATAACTAGTGTCTATAATACATAAAGAACTCTCAAAACCCAGAAGTACACAAACAATCCAATTGGAAAATGGGCAAAAGACATGAAGATATTTCACCTGAAAGGATATATTGATAAAAAATGAACACACGAAAAGACATCCAACATCATTGGCCATCACGGAAATGCAAATTAAAACTGCAATAAGATATCACTACACACCTATCAGAATGGCTAAAATAAAAAAGAGTAACAATAGCAAATGCTAACAAGGATGCAGAGAAACTGGATCTCTCATACATTGCTGTTGGGAGTGTAAAATGGTACATCTACTCTAGAAAATAGTTTGGCAGTTTCTTATAAAAGTAGACATATGATTACCATACAACCCAGAAATTGCACTTTGGGGCATTTATCCCAGAGAAATGAAAACTTATGTTCACACAAAAACCTGCACATATGCACATGTTCATAGCAGCTTCATTCATAGTAGCCAAACACAGCCCAGATGTCCTTCAACAGGTGTTAGGTCAAATGGTGGCATATCCATGGAATACTCAGCATGGAATACTAAGGAATGAACTAATGATGGATGCAACAGCTTGGATGAATCTCCAGGGAATTATGGTGATTTAACAAAACCCAATTCCAAAGGGTTAAATATGTGTGATTCCATTTATATAACATTTTGAAATGACAAAATTTTAGAAATGGAGAATACATTAGTGGTTGCCAGAGGCTATGGATTAGGGGGCAAGAGAAGTGGTAAGGAGAGAAGTGTAGTATAAAGGGCAACATTAGGGATCCTGGTACTAATAGAACTGTGCAGTATCTTGACTGTAGTGGTGTATACACAAATCTACACTAGTGATAAAATCATGTAGAACTGAGTACATGTGCACACACACACACACACACACACAAATGAGTACAAGTAAGATGAAAATCTGGATGAGATCAGATTGGGTTGTTTCAATGTCGATATCTGAGTTTTGATATTGTACTATAGTTTTTCAAAATGTTACCATTGGGGAAACTGGGTAAAGGGTATTATTTCTTACAACTACTTGTGAATCTACAATTATCTCAATAAATTTTTCAACTAGAGAAAATAAAGACTTTCACATATAAACAAAAAATGAGAAGTTGCTGCTACCAGACTTGATCCTTAAGGCTGAAAGGAGATGACACTAGATGGGAATTAGGATCTGTATAGGAAAGAATGAAGAACACCAGAAATGGTAAATATAAATAAGTGTGTGTGCTCTTCTCTTAATGTCTTTAAAAATGATAAGATTGTTTAAAGCAGTAATTATAATACTGTATTGTTAGGTTCATAACATACATAAATGTAACATATATGATAAAAGCACAAAGGAGGGGGCAGAAGATGGAACTATACTGGTACAAAGTTACTATATTTTACCAGAATTAAGTCAATAGATACACATCCAATTCTGTCTCCATCCCCAGGCTAGGATTGCTAGGCTCTCTCTGCCATACCACACTCTCTTCCTCTCTGTATTATGAGTTCCTTCCTTCCTCTACCACCAGACTCCATTTCCGGAGGGAATAAAGCCCAGAAATGGACAGGCATTGAGTTCATGGAGAATCGATGGTCTCTCTGGGATATTAAAAGCAATGGGGATAAGTGGCCTCTCTGAGGGACAGAGACCTTTGGTGGGTTATGGTAGAATGATGCAGTATAATGATTTGACAAAGGCATGAGTCAGAGAAACTTGAGTTAAATCCCAGTCTGGCTACTTAAAAACTAAATAAACTTGGCTTATCTCATAACTTCCCTGGGTCTTGGATTCCTCATCTGTGAAATATGCAAAACAATAAAACCGGTGCCATAGAGTTTTCGTGAAGATCACACAAGATGATTTATGTAATGTGCGTGACATACTGCCTGGTTCATAGGACATGTTCCGTAAACAACAAAGATTAGCATTACTATTAGAACAAACAGTGCAAAAATGCGGGCACCACTTAATGATCTCAACCACTCAGATGCAAACCTTATAGGGTCACAGCTTCTAGGAAAGGGGTCAACCTGGAACTCCCCACAGTGAGAATTTCCCATGTCTTACAGATAGTTCCAGGCTCCTGGGTTCTAGAGTCAATTTCTCCCGTACCCTAAAGTCGCTATTTATATTCAAGATATTTGGCATAGAATGCTAAAAATTATCCTTTGCTAAAATTTCAACTTGGATTTCTGAAGACATAAATGGACTCTACTCTTAAATTTATCAAAATTATTTTGTCCCTCTGGATGTTTATTTTGAACCTAAATAAGGTAAATAACAGAAATAAACTCTCTTGGTATATCTGTGTTTATGATAAATGTATTTGTTATATGAACAAGCAGGTCTCCTCTCTAAGTCCCTTTTCCCCTGTTCTGTTAAATGGGGGTGATAATAATATCTATGCCAAGGACCTTTTACAAGAATGTAATGAGACAAGGCAGAAAATTCCCTGACATGTAGTCAGTGCTCAAGTTAGTCTCCTTCCCCCCTCTAGAAAAGATAAAGGTTGTATGGAGGTTAGAATCTGAATGGGGAAACATCATTCTTTCAAAATCTCACCCACGTTTACTTCCCCCATCCCTACACCACCCAAATCAATGGGTCTCAATCAAAAGTAATTTAATTAATTCTTGATACACATATATTGTTGGTACAGGGTTAGGAAGACTACTTTGATGAGTATAAGTGCTAGATAACTAGCCAGAGCTTCCTGCTAGCTGCTCTAATGTGCTTTTAATAAATATTACACTTGCCCTCCATCTCTCGGAATTATAGTAACCTTACCACCCAAATCACCTGAGGAAGGGCCAAGTCACTGAGTCATGGTCAAAGATTCCCCACAGCAACCTGGGTACAGAGTGTCTGGTTTTCAAAGGCCAGTGCCTCCCACACCCACCCACAGGCCTGTTCAGTCAAATAAGTACAAGCACACCTCATTGAGCACTGCTGTCACGGCGTGGAGTCCTTATCATGCAGCCAATGTTGGAAATATTTTTATAGTTAAAAAAGTACTTATATCCATAACTCTTCTGTAGGGTTTCCTAACCTCGGCACTATTGACATTTGGGGACAGATCGTTCTTTGTTGTGGGGCTGTCCTGTGCGTTGTAGGATGTTTAGCAGCATCCCTGGCCTCTACCAGTAGGCTTCCCCGTACCTTGGAGTTATGACAATCAGAAATGTCTTTAGACATTGCCAACTGTTCCTGGGTGGCAGAATCGCTCCATCCCCATATGAAAATTGCTCTTCTGAGTTGTGTGTTAAAAGGCCTATTCTCGCTTCCTGGTTGGCTGTTCTAGAAGAGGGAGCACTGTGGTGAGCTCCCACCAAGGAGCACCCATAGGCAATCCTGCCTTTCCTCCGCCTGAATGGCAAATGCTCGTCTGTTCACTCCCTGGCAGCCTCCTTCTGCCATTATTTTGGTTTCTGATGAACTGATTTGACCACCCAAGGGAACTAAGGAAAGAGATAGATTCCAGGGATAATGCGTGTGGACCCACCAAAGTACAAAAGAATATGTATTACAGAGATGTTGAAATGCAGGCTTCAGAGGGGCCTTCAAGGAAATGAAGGTAGAGGAAGCAGTGAAGATCAGCAGGTGATGAGAGGATCGATCAACCACGGTGTGAACTATAGTTGGGAGAAGCAATGGCCAAGGAATGAGCATCATGGCTTCAGGGGATTTAAAGGGAAGGAAGAGCTACCAGTAATTGAAAGATGGGTAACACGTTTCTGCAGGGACCAAGCATGGTGCTGCTCCAGTTAGCACCCCCATTTCCAAAAAAGCATCACACACACAAACACCTGCAAATGGCATGTGCCTGTGTGTGCATTTACAATGTATGAAGCATTTGCCTATTCACTGAACACTTGTGTCAATTCTGGGAAGTATGCTAAATCAACATAATTAATCTCATAATTAATTAGAATGCTTTTCTCATTATAGATGGGAAAACTGAAACTGAGAGTGGTTAAATGACTTGCCCAAGGTCAAGAGCACCTGGACTCAAAAGCATAACCTCAGACTCCAAATTTGAGGCTCACTGAATCCCACTAAAGCATGCCGGCTTTGTCTTCCAAGAGGATCCAGGAAAGAAGATGGGTGGGGAATGTGATGGACCCTGGTGATTGCGGCATGTCTCTAGACAGAATGATTCTCTAAACCAAAAAAAGTTGGGCACTCTTTCTATACTATACTTTTGACATTTCTGCTTAAATATACTGAGCCTGTACCTTCTGCAAATAGGTGACTATTTCTGACCTCAGACAATGTGTGTGTTGTTTTCACAATTCCCTAGGAGACCCCAGATGGGAGGGAGGCAGCACATAAGACTATGACTGGCACACTGTGGGAACTCAATAAGTGTTTGTTGAATGAATGAGTGATACAAGGGCATTGGAGCTGGACAGACCAGGGTCCCAGTCCTGGCTCTGAAACTTGCTATCCATGTGACAATGATCAAGGTAGTTTAACCTCTCCTCATCTACAAAATGGGGGCTCTAAGCCTTGCAGGAATCCTATGTGGATTCAAGGGAGCCAATGTGCAAAGGGTATTTTATATGGTGTCTGGAAAGGTAAAGGCATTCAACTAATGATAGCTGTTGTTTTATTGTTGTCAAAGGGGCTTCCACCCTGAAATGTAGTAAAGTGGCCTTGGATAAAACCAGATCAGATAAGGCGAAAGGAGAAAGTCAGAGCTGTGCTTTGGATGGGCACTCTGTTCCAGGGGTAGCTCAGCCTTGTGAATAGCAGGAGTTTGGGGTGAATGAGCTGTATGTGGGGCCAGGCTCCTCCCTCTTGGTCCCCTTTCTCGTTAAAATGCTGGGCCACTGGCTGGTGGCACCACGCAGCTCCGGGTCTCTCTCTCATTTCTCTGCTTCTCATTCTCTGCCAAAATCTTCCATCAGAATTAGGAAAAGTTGGTATGGAACGTGGGACCTCCAAGAGTAACATGGGAATAGGGCAGGGGGCCCAGCGGCACAAAGAGAGCCCATTTCTTTTTTTAAAAATTATTTTATTGAGGTCATATTGGTTTATAACATTGCGTAATTTCAGGTGCACATTATTACATATCAGTTTCTGTATAGACTGCATCGTGTTCAACACCAATAGTCTAGTTTTTATCAGTCACCATACATATGTGCCCCTTTACCCCTTTTGCCTATCCGCCCACGCCCTTCCCCTCTGGTAACCGCTAATCTGTTCTCTTTATCCATGTGTTTGTTTATCTTCCACATACGAGTGAAATCATACAGGATTTGTCTTTCTCTCTCTGGCTTATTTGACTTAACATGATATCCTCAAGGTCCATCCATGTTGTTGCAAATGGGACTATTTTGTCTTTTTTATAGCTGAGTAGTATTCGACTGCATATATTTACCACATCTTCTTTATCCATTCATCAGTTGATGGGCACGTGTTGCTTCCACGTCTTGGCTATTGTAAATAATGCTGCAATGAACATAGGGGTGCATAAATCTCTTTGTATTGTTGATTTCATGTTCTTTGGATAAATACCCAGTAGTGGGTTAGCTGGATTATACAGTATTTCTATTTTTAATTTTTTGAGAAATCTCCATACTGTTTTCCATAGTGGCTGCACCAGTTTGCATTTCTACTGGCAGTGTATGAGAAAGAGAGTCCATTTCTTATCTCATAGGATGAGGAGTCAATTCAATTCACTTCATCAAATATATGTTGGGCGTATATGATGTACCAGGCACTGTCCTAGGTGCTGAGGCTAAAGCAATGAGTGAAACAAAGACCTTGCCTTTGTGGAATTCATATTGCAGCAGGAGAGAGACAAACAATATACAAAACACATAACAGACAGTAAAAGTGCTACAGAAAAGATAAAAAGTAGAGCAGAGTAAGGCAGATTCAAAGTCTGGGGTGGGACTGGTGGCGAGCAAGGCAAGATTGAGACGGAGAGATATGAGCCAAAATTTCAAGGTGAGGGACTTAACCGAGTCAGACCTACTTGCAGGAAAAGGCTCCTTTCTGGACGACTTTCTTTGCTGAAGCTTAAAATCTGAAAATGGAAGTGAGGATATGAAATGCAGTATATCCAAGATAATCCACCAGAAATGAGGAAAATTGCAGTAGTTTCCAAGATTTTTGAGCAGCCAGTAAGATTCCTTTTAAAAAATATATATTATAGTACAAGATTATAAAAATATTACCTATTCTTTGTAGAAAATTCACACATACGAAAGTATAACTGAGAAAGTAAAAATTTGTCAAAATTTTACCTTCCAGAGATTACCACTGTTAACATGCTGGTGAGCATCCTTGCACATACAGTTCTCTGCACGTATGTACATATGTGAAGCTACAGATTATAGATTCTTATATATAAATGGAATACTAAACTTCTCAATAATCCTATAGCCCAATGGTTTTCAAAATTTGTCTCCTGTTCCAGAAGCAGCAGAAGTATAACCTGAGAATTTACTAATTCCCAATCCTACTGGATCAGAACTCTGGGAGTGGTTCTCACAATCTGTGTTTTAACAAGCCCTCCAGGTGATTCTGATGCACACTCAAGTTTAAGAACCTCTGCTATAAGGAAGAAGAATGCAGTGGTCAACGGGACAGGCATACCTGGAGTCTGACTCCTGGGTTCTGCTCTTGGCTCCACCACTTACAAACTCCATGCCTTGGGAACATTATTTAGGCTCTCTGAGCTTCAGTTTCTCTCCTATAAAATAAGGTGAATGATCTTATCTACTTTATTGATCAACTGATGTGATGCATGTAAAGCTCTTGGTATAACTTAGCTCTTAGTAGATTATTGTCTTAGAACTAATCAATTATGAAGATGCCACATAACAAAACTTGCGAAATGCAGCTAAAGTGGTTCTTAGAGGAAAATTTGTAGCCTTAAGTGCTTATATTAGAAGAGAAGAAAAGTTATAATTAGTCAAGCATAGAACTCAAGACGTTAGAGAAGAACAACAGAGGAAACGCCTCCAAAAAATAGAAAGACAAAAATAATAAAACAATAAAACAATAGAAAACAAGATAAACAGAGAGATAACAAATAAAACTATTTGCTGGGAGCAGGGGAAGTGAAAAATAGATTATTGTAAAGCACTTAGCGCAGCTTCTTTCACACACACAAACATACACACATACATACATACACACATATGCACACATACACAGAGGGTATCATCATCCTCATTCCATTAGAAAGTAAACGGGTCAAGTGATTTTCCTTTGGTTTAAAGAAATGGAGGAGCAGAGAGGTAGGACTGAGAAAATTAAAAATTGAGTGAGACTCTAGCCCCTGCAGAGTCACCTGTAAGGGTCCAGGGGATTAGGCTGCTGTGACTAGGCTATCTCCAGAACATTCCAACATGCCCCACTCCACCTCCCATCTTGACTGGACAAGCTATTCCGCCTATTAGTCATTATCCTTAACCCTTAGAGTCAGCCTTACAGGTGGGAGGATAAGACAGAGTCTGCACCTTTCCTCCACCTTGCCTGATGCCTGCAAGTCCACCACAGGAGTGATCGGCCATTCATTCAACAACAACAACATGGATTGAGAACCTGAAAGCCTTTGCAGCCTGACTATCCTGGGTTTGATTCTTGGCCCTATCATTTTCTAGAATGACATTAGGAAAGGCACTCCACCTCTCTGACCTCAGTTTTTCATGTAATGTTGGAAGTCCTAATATCCACCTTGAAGAGTAATTGCAAGGAAAAAACCATTCACGTAAAAGGAGAATACAAAGAAACTTGTTAGCCCTGCCTCAGAGGACCTCATAGCTTTTTTTTTCTGTTAACAAATATTTACTGAAAACTAAGGGCCAGGCCTGTTAGTCCATGTAGACTGCAGAAAAGAGTATGACAAGATCCCTGCTCTCAAAAGTCTTTTTGGTTAGGGAAGGGAATGAGTGACTGAGAGCAGCTACTATTTATTGATGCTTTTCTATTTATCAATGCTTTCTGTTGGTTATCTCTAACCCTTCCGTAAGCCAAAATGTGGACATTACATCCCCATTTTACAATGAAGGAAATTGAGTGTGAAAGATATAGGTGATTTATCCAAGATCACACAGCTAGAACATGATTAAGTCAAGTTTGGACCCTGCTCTCAGATTTAGTCAGTCTTCTTTTCACTATAGAATATCTATTCTAGAATGACTATGAGACAAGAAGTGGAAGCTTGAGAGAGCTTACTCATCAAATCCTATAAAATCAGATCTGGAAGACTGCTCAGAGTTGATGGGTTTCAACTCCCCAATCTTACAAATTAAGAAATGGAGATTTGGAGGGCTGGCCCCGTGGCTTAGCGGTTAAGTGCGTGCGCTCCACTACTGGTGGCCCGGGTTCAGATCCCGGGCGTGCACCGACGCACCGCTTCTCCGGCCATGCTGAGGCTGCGTCCCACATACAGCAACTAGAAAGATGTGCAACTATGACATGCAACTATCTACTGGGGCTTTGGTGAAGAAAAAAGGGAGGAGGATTGGCAATAGATGTTAGCTCAGAGCTGGTCTTCCTCAGCAAAAAGAGGAGGATTAGCACGGATGTTAGCTCAGGGCTGATCTCCCTCACCAAAAAAAAAAAAAAAGAAATGGAGATTTGGAGAAGTTAAGTTGATATAATATCACAGGGGCAGGGTTAAGATTTGAATCCACTTGAGTTGGATTCTCAAGTCTGGGATTTTCACTACATCAGGCTCCTCCCAGAAGTGAAAACTTCACCTTCTGTGTAGATGGATAAGGCCACAGCCTGGTGGGCCAGGTGGACTGAGTGGGAAGAGGTACAGAGCTCAGCTACTGTGGACAGCCTCACAATTGCACCCAGGGCTGTCCCAGCCCCTGTTATGTGGGGTTAAAAAGGGGAAGGTGATGGGTTTGGCCTCTCTCAACCACTTTCTCTCTTTAGGGCCTGAGAATACTGTCTCCCCAGAAATACGCAACCTTCCTATGGAAAAGGGCTCATGTTGAGCCTCAATCCAGTGATGGTTTTACAACTCGAAGACCTATGAATGTGAGCTGTTTTTACATGGAGGCTGTGATGGCAATGGAAACAACTTTTTGAGGAAAGAAACTTGTGAGAAAGCCTGCAAGCACACTTGATTTCCCGCTAAGAACAGAGTCCTCTCTGAAATCAGGATTGTTCTAGGGCAATAAAAGGCATTTTTATGAACACAGATGCATTCCTCCACCCCAAATTTATTCTCCTTGCTGTGTTCCTAAAATCACTCATCTCTGCCTGAAATTCTACAAATATTGTCGACATATTTAAAATCTCAAGACCTTCTTTTTTAAATATATACATACAAATACACTGGGAAAATTAAGAGTTAGCAGTCATTCACACTTAGTATGAATTAGTTCTTAGCCCATTGGAGGATAAGGGTTTTGAAGGAGGGGGGTGTGGATTTGAAAACCTGGGGCATGGTATTAGAAAGGCCTACACCGGACAAGGAAAGGATTTCTGGAGTCCTGTGAAACAAGACAAGGGAATAGCACAAACCATAGAAGAAAGATGGTAATGGGTGGAGGAACTGAAGATATTAAGGCCATTTTTAACTTAAAAATTAGTGAATTTTTATGAAAGCCCTATCTACTACAGCTACACCACGTCTTCCTGCCACAGGCTACATGGGGAGAGCAGTGAAGAGCCTGGTCCTAGAGTCCTTTAGTTTGCCTTAAGCAACACCAATTATTACAGCTTGGAGAGAGAGAGAAGAAAACATGGGGATCATCTAATTCAGTTACCTCAAATCTCAGAGGGAAAAATGGAGGACCAAAGACAGGCAGAGGAATGAAACAGAGGCACCACTGATCCTGGAAAAACATCCTTTCCTCTGCATTACAATGTTCTCTCCATAATTTTCCCAGACTTCCTCTCTACTCAGGGATGGAGAGCAGAATTGAAGATGGAGCATTCATTTGGGCACTTGCCTTTATCTCCCATTTTGATTCAGGGTCCTTCTCTCAGGTCCAAGTCAGCTGCTTCCCATTGCCCAAGGAAAAATAACTATTATCCATTGTACCAGGCGCTGCACTAAGCTCTTTACAAACAGTCCGTATAAACCTCAGAGTAACGCTGAAAATTGGATTGTATTCATGGTTCTCAAAGTATGATCCAGGGACCAGCAGCCTCCAGGTCACCTGAGAACTTGCTAGAAGTACAGAATCTCAGGCCTCCTTCCAGACCTACTAAATCATAATCTGCATTGTAACAAGATTCCTGAATGAGTGGTAAGCATATTCAAGTTTAAGAAGCAGTGGCAGATGAGGAAACAAAGATAAAACAAATCAGTAATGTTTCCAAGGCCACACAGCTGGAAAATGGCAGAGCTCATCATTGAGCCCGTGTTGGTCCATTTCAAAAGTCCATGATCTTAACCACTGTGCCACACTCCTTCATAGATCTCAGAATTTCCCCCATGGGGCTGATTCCAATCATAGGTTTTTATTCAAAAGATTTCAAAAGTCCTGGTTTTGCTGCCAAGACAACAGACACATCCCACTCTTTCCTCCTCTGGCTCAAAGAGGGGCCAGCAGAGCCACTTGTAGGTGGGTGGCTAACTGGACGACACTGGGAAACAGAATGCCTGGATCTTCTCTGGGAAGAGTCTGAGACAGAATCCTAAATGTCTCTCATGATCACTGTTTTTTGTGTGTGTGTGTGTGTGTGAGGAAGATCAGCCCTGAGCTAACATCCGTGCTAATCCTCCTCTTTTTGCTGAGGAAGACTGGCTCTGAGCTAAGATCTATCGCCAATCCTCCTCCTTTTTTTTTTCCCCAAAGCCCCAGTAGATAGTTGTATGTCATAGTTGCACATCTTTCTAGTTGCTGTATGTGGGACGCGGCCTCAGCATGGCCAGAGAAGCCGTGCGTTGGTGCGCGCCCGGGATCTGAACCCAGGCCGCCAGTAGTGGAGCACGCCCACTTACCTGCTAAGCCATGGGTCCCGCCCCACCGCTGTCTTCTTTTTCCAGGCTGGAGAGAAAAATTCATGTCAGCATACTGAGCGCTTCCACAAAGGAGAGATTGCCTCTTCCCTAGCCCCTAGGCTCCACCCTATCCACTCCCACACCACTCCTCCCTTCTCAATATCTCACTATGGGTAACATTCTCCATGGCAAACACCAATCATATATTCTGTCCCACCAAAATGTCCTAAAACTCCTGAATTGTGCACCATCTAGATCATTGGCTCCACACTCTATCTCCCACCCATTAAAACACCAGAATTATCTGGCCTTGGGATCATTATCTTTATAATCCAACTGTGTCTTTATTAACCACTTCATCTCAGATGTCTAAAATTGTATCAGTGTATCAATATTCAACATCACTCAACAGCTCCAGCCAAGATGCACCTTCAGAGTGGGTGGAAGTAGACAAGGTATTCCACACACCCGTGCATCACTTATCCATTATTCATCTGCCCTTTAGTGATCCACACATCATACATTTTTTTTAACTGAGATAGCCTCCTAGCTGGTCTCAGAGTTTCTGCCCATGCCCCCTCAGTCTATTCTCAACAGAGCAACCAGAGGATCCTCTTCTGTCATGATACTCCTCTATTCATAATCCCTCAATGACTTTCCTTCTAATTCAGCCAAACTGAGTTTGGTAAAAGCCAAAGTCTATAGGAGTACCTCAGTTTTACCAACTGAGTTGATAAAAGCCAAAGTCTATATGAGTACCGGCCTCATGTTCTTGTCTGAGGGCCTTCTGTAGATGCTGTGGGACAGCACCCATATTCCCTTTCAGGAATGAAGCATCCATTCCCCCAGCCGCTGGGAGTTTGGTGGCTGATGGTTCCCAGTGAGTCCCTCTACTCCTCTATGGAAGCCAAAGAGTCCCACTATTACCTCTCTTCCCCATTGGCTTCTTGAGTGTGAGCATATGACATGGACTCAGCCAACTAGATGCTTCTGCCTTGGACTTTGAATCTGGAGGGAATGATACAAAGACCCAGGAAGTTGAGAAAGTTTTTACCATTGTGGTGGGGGTGGTGAAAGTCTGGGTATGACAGAGCATCGAGGGGCCAACCGTGGCAGTGCCATTGGTAGCAAGGACAAAACTACTACAAACTCAGAGATGCTCAAAATGTAAGCCTTTTTTAAAAATTATAATTGGCCTGAATTTCTATTTTGAGCTCCCATTTGACCACGTAATAGAAATTAATCTCTGTCTTTTCGTTGGTTTTGGCCACCATTGACCCCCAAAGTTGCTTCTACATTCCAATACACTTGCTTAATTCCTAGGCATCAGATGAGACATGTGCTTGATCTTTGATCATCATCATATAGACGTTTTTATTCCTGCTGGATGTTCAGATATTTTTCCAGCATCTTTCTCATCTGAGAAGAGCTCACTTGGTGACTTGTATTCTCCGCTTGCCACTCTCTAGAGCTCAAGAAATACCTGCTGCTCTGCGCCAGCTAGGGCTATAGGAAGCTCAATGGGACTCTCTAAAAACCCTATGATTAGGCACCCCATGTACCAATTTCTGATCTACCCTTCAGAGGTTCTCAGTTCCAACTTTATCCTAGTTGTTGGAAGCATACCCTGTCTATAGTCACCTCTTCTCTTGATTTCCAAATACACCAGGTACTTCATTGCCCGAAAGGACTTGGCCCAGGGCCCCTTCTCAGGTTCCCAAACCACCATCTATTTCTCTTTGTTCCCTTCTCTCTTCACTAAACCTCCAATGGGGAGAATTTTATACACCTGCTGGCAGAGACAGGCAGGGAGCAGACATTGGTAAACTCTGGTTCTTATTAATTATATATTCTTCCAAATCTTTGTCTGAGGGCTGCACTTCCTCTTTTGAACTCTATCAGCCAAGAAATATTTTGTGAACTATGTTCTGTTGTGCCATCCCTTCTCCAGGCATGAAGTAGAATACCAGGCTGCCTGCGGTGGGGGATAGACCAAAGAAAAGTGATCTACAGGGATAAATATTCAACTGAATTTTATCAACAGGGATGAAATTCAATTAACATCTCAAAATAATATTCCTCTGCATATACCTTTACTTACTTTTTCTTTCTATATAAAAAACATACATAGTGTTATTTTCTATCAGGGTTTGTATGTAGCATTATATTATAAACATTTTCCCAGGTCAATGAATATTCTTCAGCGTCGTTGTTAATGGCTGTATAATTTTCTAACCTACAGACCATTGTAATTTACTTAGCCAATCATCTATGGTTGAATATTTGTGTGTTTCCAATTTTTTATCTTTGTAAAATAACAAAGATTAAACATAAACATGATTTTTAAACACCTTTTAAAAATAACATCATGACTGACATCAGCAAGATGACTGAATAAGACATCTCACACTCGTATCCCCTCTGAACAACAATAATTTGGCATCCGACCACAGAAAGATGTCTTTGTGGAAGATTTGGGATCCAGGTAGGAGATTGTGAAACCTCAGAGCAGTCCAAGACTGAGGAGAGCCATTTTAAGAACGCAGGCCCACACCCGGGCAGCTTACTCGCCTACCATAGTCTTGTCTGCAGACCCAGAAGCAGTTCCATACCCCTGAGGACTTGGCTACAGCCCCATTTGCCTTGGTCCTGTCACCCAGGGCTGTATGCCAAAGGACCCAGGAGGGGTCATGCCCATCCATGTGTAATGGGTGTGTAATGCTCAGTCCCGGCCGTAATGCCAGGACACTGAAATGCGCATGAACAGGCCCCAGCCCATCTCAGCCTCCATCAGGAGCCCCTGGAGGTAAGCCCACTAAACTTGCTCAGACTGTAGATTCTGAAAGGGCCCTATATCTGGGCTCTAGCCTGTCCCAGCTACAGTCCTTAAACAGTCCTGCTGGCACAGGAACCCAGCAGGAGATACTCCCATCTGTGTCCCTGGAGATTCTAAAAGGGCCCTACACTTGACTCCAGCCCCCTCACAGCCACAGTCTGTAAACAGTCCTATTGGCACAGGGACCAGGAAGGGGACACTCCTGTCTGCACCCTGGGAGATCCTGAAGGGCCCTATACTCAATTCCCCCACAGACCATGAGCAGTTCTGCCGGCACAGGGACGTGGTGGGAGACACGTCTGCATCTCAGAAGATCCAGAAAGGACCCTATGCTT